GTAACGGTCAAAAAAAATTTGATTTTGGTTCAAAAAAATAATCGACGTGAAATCGACGTAAAATCGACTAAAAATCGTCCCTTTTCATATTAGCATAATGTCCAATGTACGATACATGGTATGTACATATGGAACATACATGGAAGATTTTGATGTAATACATAAAATCTTCCATTCGTCGACTTATGGTTACGTGGGTATATTCTTTATTATACTAGAGCTATCCTAGAGTCATACTATGGCCATATTAAAGCTAAAGAGAACCATATTAGGGTCATAATCTAGTCGCTTGTGCTAGAGCTACTCATACTAGAGTCGCTCATACTAGAGTCGCTCACACTAGAGTCGGTCATACTAGAGTCGCTCATACTAGAGTAGCTCATACTAAAGTCGTTCATGCTAAAGTTGCTCATACTAGAGCTACTCATACTAGAGTCGCTCATACTAGAGTCGCTCATACTAGAGTCGCTCATATTAGAATCGCTCATACTAGAGTCGCTTATACTAGAGTCGCTCATACTAGAGTTGCTCATACTAGAGTCGCTAATATTAAAGTCGCTTATACTAAAGTCGCTCATACTAGAGTCGCTCATATTAGAATCGCTCATACTAGAGTCGCTTATACTAGAGTTGCTCATACTAGAGTCGCTAATATTAGAGTCGCTTATACTTGAGTCGCTCATACTAGAATCGCTCATACAAGAGTGACTCAAACTGGAATATCATACACTAAACTACATGGAAATAAATCTAACTTCGAGCTAGATTGACACTTTACTGACCAGGCTCTAGTTTTATTCAAATTCGTCACATTAGAATAGTTGCTCAGTTTTGTTTGATTTAAGCACATTTTCAAGTTCAACAGAAATAATTAATGAGGAATTAAAATAATTTTCTCCAATTTTAATGGTGGACCAATTGACTGCTGTATCTATGAGCTCATTTCAACATCAATTAGTAACGTTGAGTTTTTATTTTCAAGATTTTCAAAAAATTTCAATTACAAATTTGCATCCACCAGTTGAAATGTAAATCCATTCCGAAAAGCAAACATGAGCTGATTTCTACCTAGAAATAAAAGCCACAAAACCAGTTTCAATATTTATCTCACCATATTGAAGACGAGAATCCGAATCACTTCAACATTTTGGAGGATATGACAAGCAACATTAATGCATTTGTTCCGTTAGTTTGTGTATCCCCTCATTAGGTTTTATTTAATTTTATCTCGAAAATATTTTCCATGCAATTTCACTATGATTTGAGATGGAAATGAATGTGTATTTAAACTTTATTGCCATAGACGAAAGAACCACTCAAAATAGTACATTTAATGCCGTCTCGTAACTCTCATTGAAAGTCAAGTATAAGCAGATGAGTGTCATATGAGACAATTCTCCTCCATTCCATCAATGTATCAAATTTCATCCTAATTACTATTTGTGTTCATACAGCATGTACACACACATGATGCTTATAAATGACTGAATGATGATAATGGAAATTTTCTATGACGAGTCAAATTTTTTTTTTTTTTGGTATGGGGAGGGGGGCTATACATCCGATACTTTAGTGCTGATACTGTGTTGGCGTCATAAGCCTAGGAATTTTATTGTCTTGTTTTGCAAATGATGATGACATTTTGGAATTAGCAGAGTTTATTATGGTTCTGATGATGAATTAGGATGGAAATGTGAGGGAATGTTAAAGGGCAGGAATTAATGAGAGAGAGATAGAGAATTATTGGAATTGTGGGATGAGAGGACGAACGAGAGGGGGGAGGGCTCAGTAGTAACTCATGGACATGGGAGTATTTTCAAAAAAGATCGAAAGGAACAGAAGAAATGGGGCATGTTTTTAGCCAAAGTTAAAGCTACGACAATGTTAAGTTGGCCCCACGCTAGTGTCATTCGTCTTTGCGCTATTCAGATTACCAACTTGCAATGAATCATGTAGACATCTTTCCCAGATTTTCCTAACCTTGAATCGAAAATCGATATACTGCATGTTGGTGTAGTACCTTGTGTATCCAGCCCTAGCACAACTGAGCCTTCTCGTTCCATCATTTACAACCTACTTCGAATAGCACAAGTCCGTTATTCGATCAAAAATCTGGCACAGAGCCAGTGTGACTTTAGAATTGATTTGAATCGAAGCCAGCACCATGCGAGAGCCATACCGGCTTGGTGCCGAATTTCTATCCGATTAATCGACTTATGCTTTTCGGCGTAAATGATAGAACGATCTAATTAAGTCCTTAAAAGTCTGAAAAACTCTTCTTTAAATTTTAATGTTTAACAAACAATCACCTCCATCCCCAATTATCCTGCCTCCCTATTAATTTATTTTTAGACACACAAAATCACTCCATTTACTCGACATTCATTCTCATTCATTCGTGACATTTTTGTTCCTTATTTTCCTTTACATTAACTCCTAAATCATCTAAAGTGCCCTTTCTCATTTATCTAAGTAGCATCCCATCATCTTTCATTCTTATTTTTACTACGTTTTTCTTAACTTGCTTTCTTATCTGTTTGTCGAGGTCAAATCTTGCGATAAATTTTTCAACCACTTCTACTGCTCCAATCGAGCTGAAATTTTGCATGCACTTTTCTTTCCGGTGACAATACAATATTCAAGCATTTCGGAAACTTAAAAATGCTTAATTATAGTACAATTGAATTAAATTTTTTACTCTTTAAGGCTTAGCTTATTTTTACATAACATATGAACAACTTTCAATAATTTTATATTTCAAAAAGCCGTTATGAGTTTGAATGACAAAAAATACGTTACACGACTTTCAATGGTTTTGTTCTAGTTTACAAACTTATGCTGTGCGAAGCACAGCTGATCGATGAAGACTTCTATGGTTAAATTCTAGTTTACAAACTTATGCTGTGCGAAGCACAGCTGATCGATGAAGACTTCTATGGTTAAATTCTAGTTTACAAACTTATGCTGTGCGAAGCACAACTGATCGATGGAGACTTTCTATGGTTTTGTTCTAGTTTACAAACTTATGCTGTGCGAAGCACAGCTGATCGATGAAGACTTCTATGGTTAAATTCTAGTTTACAAACTTATGCTGTGCGAAGCACAGCTGATCGATGAAGACTTTCTACGATTAAATTCTAGTTTACAAACTTATGCTGTGCGAAGCACAACTGATCGATGGAGACTTTCTATGGTTTTGTTCTAGTTTACAAACTTATGCTGTGCGAAGCACAGCTGATCGATGAAGACTTTCTACGATTAAATTCTAGTTTACAAACTTATGCTGTGCGAAGCACAGCTGATCGATGAAGACTTTCTATGGTATGAGTCTAGTTTACAAACTTATGCTGTGCGAAGCACAACTGATCGATGGAGACTTTCAATGGTTTTGTTTTAGTTTACAAACTTATGCTGATCGATGGATACTTTAAATAATTTTTTAAAACTAAAAAGTAGAAAATAAATACTTCATAAAAAAAACTTTTTAAAAAACCACGTTTTTTTCCCGTGGACTAAAAAGTAGAAAATAACTTTTTTAATTGGGTTCAAAGGATATTGGTTTGAAAATTTGAGATTGATATTAAAGTTTTATACTAAAGTCATGTGACCATACATGAATTGCAAATTTGTTCACTTCGACCAAATTGTATAGTTCTACATCTTAAAACGTGGGCGCATTCATTAATATTGTATATTAGGAAAGCTTAAATTTTATATAAATGCGCCCACGTTTTAAGATGTAGAACTATACAATTTGGTCGAAGTGAACAAATTTGCAATTCATGTATGGTCACATGACTTTAGTATAAAACTTTAATATCAATCTCAAATTTTCAAACCAATATCCTTTGAACCCAATTAAAAAAGTTATTTTCTGCTTTTTAGTCCACGGGAAAAAAACGTGGTTTTTTAAAAAGTTTTTTTTATGAAGTATTTTTACATTCACATCTCTTCTTCCGCTCATAGCTTTAATATCACATGTCTTGTTGAATCTTGAAGATGTTTTTAGATGATGACTTTTAATCGGTTTTAAGATGACAATACTGAGAATTGATTGAGGCTTAATTTAACAGGAGAATGTCATATGTCAAAGGTATTTCTAGGTAGGCAACCATCAATTATTTTGATTGAAGTATATTTATTAGGAAATTGTGAGGTATTTATAGAATAAGCTTCTTTTGGAGTATTGAGGTCAACCTTAATAAGGAGCTGACATTCAGCATGCTTAAAAGTGAAGATTCATTATCGATTTTAAATTGGCTCGAGAAAGAATAGTGATAGTCAACCTATGTGCCGCGGCACACTAGTGTAAAATGAAAAAAATTCGGGAAATCCCACAAACTGCATACCGTGGCTATAGCTTACCATCAAGGTGGACTTACTTACTTACTGTAACCATTTTCGTATGTATAGATTAGGTTACAACAAAAGGCTTTCCATCTGACTCTGTTGCTAGCTCTGTCACTTGATTTGTACAACTTCTCTGTCTGCACATTAAGCTGACATTCTTTCATCATGTTCTTTTGGCAAATTTCAACAAAAGGCGATGTTAGAGACTTGTGTTTTTATCCCATCGTTGACATTCTCTCTGGCATTTTTTGAAGTGTATGTCCGATCAAGGTGTACCGTGGCACAAAAAAGGTTGACCACGACTGAGTTTTAGAGTTGCATGGGCATCGACTCCCCTTCTACTATGGCTACGTCACTGATCTTCTATCAAGCATACACAATTTGTCATTGCATGACATGCATTTTCTAATAAATAAAAACCTTAAAATGAAATAATAAATAATAAAAACTTTTACTTTCATTTTTAAACAAATAATTACTTTTTAATGACTTATTAAGTATTGCTCTCATGTTTTGCTGATCACAGAAAGTTGAATAATTTCCGCGTTGATTATAACATATGCAATGATGCACATTAGCACATGTGTCAATGAGTTGCAGCATGTCACGATGAGCTTGCAAAATTACTAGGCAACATTAAAATTAAGATATTCAGATGATTTCTTATAAAAAAGTTATTAATTTATTTCACATTAATAAAAAAAAATTATTCACAAATATTCACATTTAAAATTTTAATTTGGACACTAATTTTCCTTCTTTTTACTGAAACTTTGCCTATAAAATCGGACAAATAATGTTAATAGCAGCGATAAATTGATAATTTGAAGATAATAAACCCAATGAACTGTCCCACAACTAGGCAGTGCACCAACAATCGAATGTCCAAGAATTATTACAAGTTGTGTGATTTGAATGAGTGTCAGGAATGGCTTGACTTTGTTTGTTAAGCCTTTCGTCATTTCAAATGAGCTTAGTAAATAGTAGATGTACATTATTATATGTACAACTGAGTTCACTGCACCTAGATATACTTCCATAATCCCACCGCTATATTTGAGGAATGTGATGAGTAAAAATGCTGTGCTGATGTGATGATAAACGTGTAGAGCCGACACTTGATGACTTTTCTTACGTAACACAAAGAAAATTGTCTCAAAATATTCAACTAACCGCATGATTATGAAAAACCAATAAGATTCATTCAATTGCATCAATTGTCTTGTAAATTCTCCATCTGTCGGTATACATTTCCACGTGTTTTTAAAGCTAAATCCAAAAAGGTGCAGCTTCCATACAGCGTATACACACATACAAATTTGACCAATGTTGTACCATCGGATGATGAATTTTAAATTGTATGGCTTTCTATTGCTCATAAATTTTGGAAGAAAGACAAAGACGAGAAATAGATAGACGGATGTGATTGTTATGAATGGTACATATGAGCCCATTAGTGGCCATGTTGACACAATCGACTCTGAAATTGATGTGTGAAAATTTATTAAATTTAGAAATATTGAAAATTAATCTTTTGATTATTTTTTATGAGTTTTTGTTTAAACTTTAATTTAAAATATTTTAAAAATTTGAATTTAAAAAATTATGCTTTTTATATTTTTAAGGAATTGATTTTTTAATTTAATAAAGTTTTAAGTTATAAAAAAATTGCTAATTGAATTTAAAAAACTCAAAATGTGCACTTATTATTTTTTAAAATCACTCAAAATTTTTAAATAATTGTTTTAAAATTATTTGAAATTTTTTATAAAAATTCGTTTTTTTTGTTTTTTAACTTTTAATGATTAAAAATCATAAAGTTTTTTTCAAATGTTTTTATTTATTTTTTGAATTTTGAATTTTTTGTTTTAAATTTTAAATTTTTTGTTTTGAATTTTAAATTTTTTGTTTTGAATTTTTAATTTTTTCTTTTGAACTTTTAAATTTTTTCTTTTGAATTTTTATTTTTTGTTTTGAATTTTAATTTTTTCTTTTGAATTTTTATTTTTTGTTTTGAATTTTTTCAATTTTTTGTTTTGATTTTTCAAATTTTTTTAAATTTTTGATTTTTTGTGTTACATTTTGATTTTTTTAACATCATATTTTTTTATATAATGAATTTTTTTTTGAATTTTGAATTTTCTTAATGTCTTTTTGATTTAGATTTTATTTAACTTTTTAACGAACCACGAAAACTTCGTTAATTTTTAAAAAATACAATAATTAATAAACCAATAAAATATGAAACCAACTTCTCGTTTCCCAAGTAAGCTCTTCCATTATTTTCAGTGACAACTGTTGTGCTCTGCTGTTTCAATACAACTGATAAGTTCATCAACAAATACCTTCAACCAACCTTCTGACTTAAAGTTTCTTTTTAACACAGCAACAGATAGACGATGAATCTTTTATTATCATATGGTTACATATTTTAATATTAATGAGTTTTAAATGTTGAAGAAATGCAGATGAGAGGCCCGACTTGAGACTGTAAATAACGGAAAGTCACGCGTTACACAGACAAAGACGTGAAAATTGATAACATTTTTTTAAACAAGTGTAATCGAATTATAATTAAATTGTATGAAAATTGAGTTTTATAATTTTTAATTAACACAATAAAGTGAAACTTTTGATTTTTGTTAATTTTATAAGATTAAATTAGTGTCAATCAATTATAATGTAAGTCGTTGTTCAACCAATTTCATATAATTTCATTCATAAATTGTCAACTGAATATTCCCAAAATTATCGACATCACATGAATATAAATATTTGTACAGATGATTTCTAAATGTTGAGCATTTCAAACGCGAGCAAAGAAATTTAATAAAAACTTGTTTGGCTTTTTTTGATGAAAAGTTGTAGAACTAGAAAAATTGCTTTTGATTTAAATATTTCTGACGTTCAAGATAATATTTATCTTAATTTTTATGTAAAAATGTTCATTTTATAAGGCAATAATTGATAAAAATTTCCAAAAAAAAATCATTTTTAAAGTTTTTTTATTAATTTTTTCAAAAAAATGAAAAAAAAATTACATTTTTGAAGAAGATTTGAACTTGAGTTTCAAAAAACGATATCGTAACAAATTTCTTATTAGATATGTAAATTGGCATCCACTGAATTTTAGATTCAAGGTCCAGATGCAAATTTTATTAGTCTTGTGTATGGAACCGTTCACATGTTAAGTGACAATTTGTTACATATCGCTTTTATGGTGGAGGGGGTCTAAGGTTTTGTTAAAGTTCCAGCAAAATAAATCTTTTTGATTCAAATTTTGTTATAAGGAAATGCGTTACGTAATAAGCAGGGGCCAAGAATTTGAAGAGGGGGGGGGGGGGGGGGGCAAAAATTTTTTTATGGAAAATTTTAAGGGGGGGGGGGGGGTTTGCGATTTTTTCATAAAAACCCTAGTAAAATAAAGAAATTTCTGTTTGCGTTGCGGGATTTGTTTCCCTTCCCCCCCCCCCTCTGGCTATGCGCCTCGTAATAAGTGAATGGTCCCATAAGTTAACAGAAATTTAAGAAGCAAAAGTGCCTTAAGAAGCAAAAACGCATTGATAGCTCAGTTGACAAGGTACAAATCACAAAAGTTGGTGTAGAATGTGGACTCCCGAGTTCGAATCCCTCCACCAGTTTAGTGGTTTTTCAGAAGTTTAGATACTTCGGCTTTTTATGTAGGTGCAGTTTAAGACGTAAAACTAAGAATTAGGCGATTTGAGATGTAGGAACGGGTCAAGAATTATGTAGACAGAATGAGAAAGATACGAGAGCCTTAAAAATCACCATGGAAGGCTTTTACAAGAACGGACCTGGAGACATTGTGACCTACTGAAAATTGGAACGAGAGCCGACTACCTCTAAGAAAAAAAAATCCATCTTTTGCGTTACGTTATAAGTGAATGGCCCATTATTGTAAATTTATATTTTTGCATATTATAAAATTAAACTTGTTGTCTTATGAAAAAGTGGTTCATTGCCAAATTGGTCTACGTGACGCACCCAAGATCCCCGTTTGGACGCTTCTGGTTGGACTCTAGTATCAGCAATATTAGTCTTATGTTTGAAAAAAATTACAAATATCTCAAACTTCATTATTTTTGAGTTTATTAAATAAAACCAACCAAAAAATAAAATAAAGCTAGCACAGCATGTCATCCAAAAATCCACAGAAATATTGTCATAGCTTACCAAACTCCCACCTCAAAACTCACTTTTTTCTTCTTCATTTCCTCTCGGATTTTTCATCAGCAATACAAAAAAAAAGTTTTGTGTGAGAAAAGCCACTAAAGTTGCTAGATTTTAATTTCTGCAGGGAACGAAAAAAAAACAAAATTGAAAACTTTTTCATGCTGTCTCGCTTTTAATTGTCAATAGGAATTATGACTTTATCTTTTATTTTTTTTAACCTTAAACACTCACAGATACACACCTTAACAAGATCCGCAAAATGTTATTTTTTTTGGAAGGAGGAAGAGACACAAATCCCATTAAAGTTTTCCATGCTTATTTTCACCGCAACATCAAACTTTATATCCTCAGTTCAGGTTTATATTTTGCTGAATAATTTTTTTAGCCGAGCAACATGGATGGATAAAAAGTTTGTTTTTGTTTCCAATTTTTTTTTACTTCTCGACTGTTGAGGAAGGGAAAAAATGAGGAATTTTTACTCTCTCGATGTCGCCTCCCCGGCAATTCTGTCAACAATATAATATAATTTCCTCTGAACAACAAAAATTATTTTTTATTTTTTTTAACATTTTTTTGTTATGAAGGATGGGGAGGTGCAAGGAGGGAATGTTCATGTTGACAAAGAATTTAAAATGCAAGTTTAAATAGTTTTTGTTCAGCTTGACTCAAATCGACTCGACTCAACTTGACAAAGATCGACTCAACTCTATTCAACTTGACAAAGATCGACTCAACTCGATTCAACTTGAGAAAAACTAGTTCAACTTGAATAAAATTGGCTTAACTTGATGCAACTTTACTCAACATGACTAAAATCGACTCAACTCGATTCAACCAGAGATCGAAGACGATTTTTTCGGCTTAACTCAATTTTTGATTTTTTTGATAGAATAAAGCCATTTAACTACGATTTTAAGTATTTAAATTGAACTTTACATGCTTTACTATGATTCTGTGTAATATTTTGTCAGCATGTAGCTATAGGAAGCTCAGAATTTCAAGTTAAAGAATGTTAAGCCGAAATTTAAGCCGATCGGCTTAAAATCGGCTAAATTGAAATTCTGAGCTCACTATAGCTACATGCTGACAAAATATTACACAGAATCATAGTAAAGCATGTAAAGTTCAATTTAAATACTTGAAATGGGTGTCAAATGGCTTTTTTCTATCAAAAAAATCAAAAATTGAGTTAAGCCGAAAAAATCGGCTTCGATCTCTGGATTCAACTTGAGTAAAAAATGCTCAACATGAAAAAAATTGACTCAACTTGATGCATCTTTACTCAACATGACTAAAATCGACTCAACTTGATGCATCTTTACTCAACATGACTAAAATCGACTCAACTTGATGCAACTTTACTCAACGTGACTTAAGTCGAATCAACATGATTCAACTTGAGTAAAATTAACTCAACTTGACTCAATTTTACTCAAATCGATCCAAATTTACTCAGCATGACATCAATCGAATCAAATCGATTCAACTTGAGTAAACCTAGCTCAACTTGAGTAAAATTGACTCAACTTGATGCATCTTTACTCAACAAGACTAAAATCGACTCACCTTGATGCATCTTTACTCAACATGACTAAAATCGACTCAACTTGATGCAACTTTACTCAACAAGACTAAAATCGACTCAACTTGATGCAACTTTACTCGACGTGACTTAAGTCGAATCAACATGATTCAACTTGATAAAAATTAACTCAACTTAAGTAAAATTAACTCAACTTGACTCAATTTTACTCAAATCGATCCAAATTTACTCAGCATGACAACAATCGAATCAAATCGATTCAACTTGAGTAAACCTAGCTCAACTTGAGTAAAATTGACTCAAATTGATGCAGCTTTACTCAACTTGATTAAAACTAGCTCAACTTGAGTTAAAACTAGCTCAACTTGAATATAGTTGACTCAATACGATTTGACTCAACTCAATTCTGCTTAATACAGCATGATACCAACCCCAACTAACAGCAACATATAAAAAAATTCTTTATTAAAAAAAATTGTTGAAGAAATGTTTGTATTTCATTAAGCGACAATTTACCGTGATTCAGTTAGAGTATTGAGGCAGAAAAACTTTTTTTTTCAGCTGCTGAGCATGCAGCAGTCAAGCAAAAATAAAAACTTTTTCAACATTAAATGCTGCCAGTTTTGTTGGTTGCTTTAAAAAAAAGTTTGATACACCCGCATTTGCTACATGATAAAAAAATTGTTTATACAATGAATAAAAAAATTGTTTGCTTAAAATTGCCAAACCAAAGTTCAACACAAAAAAAAATAAAGTGCGAAAAATAAATGTTTTGGTAGGATAGGGATGAGGAAGTTGGAAGAAATATTCAAACAAAAATTTTTTTTTTGATATGAATTGAGTGAAAAATACTTTGAAATAAAAAAGAATTGGTTTAATTGATTTTTTTTAATTTTTCAAGTGACATTGTTGAATGTTTGTGATTGAATTTAGAGAGCTAGATTTGAATTTGATTGAATTTTATGCAATTTTGTTGATTTTATTGCATGTGAACTATTGCATCTGGATTGCTTTAAGAGCTGATGTTCATGCTATTTGACAAGGATAGCCAAGAGCTACCCTAGCCACAATTATACCTCAAGTTTCAACTCGTGCACATAAAAACCAGAGCAAGTTTTCAGTGTAGAACCTGGTTAAAGCCCCAAGCCCTCTTCTCTTCCTCAATGGGTCTACTGCTGCTGCACTAGACTAGAATCAAGATTTTGAGACAAATATTTGATGGCGTTGTTCTGAATTTACATGACTTTATTAACTTAGCTGGGGTACCAGTCACTTGTTTGAACGGTTGTCATTAATAATGTTCCAGAAAGAGGACAATGAAATAAAATAAGGGGCCATTCACTTATTACGTAACGCTTTTAGGGGGAGGGGAGGGGGGTCTAAGATTTTGTTACGGTTCAAACAAGGAAATTTTTTTTTCATACAAATTTTGTTACGAGGGGGGGGGGGTCTAAGAAGTCATTTTTTCGCGTTACGTAATAAGTGAACAGCCCCTAAGTCAAAATCGTGTTATCACCATTCAACCACCTAACGCACGTTCCTAAAATAAACGACCCTACATCTATCAAATCATACGCTCTTAAATCCACAAAATATTAAGTTTGATGCTCAAAAAAATTTAAATATATTTCTTCTTTAATCACATTTCCACTCATCCGTTTAGAGACTAAATCTTGTAACCTTCTCCATAAAATCTCCTTAAATTTAATTTTCCCCAAAAAGAAAATTTTTTTCACTTAATTTCTCCACAGAAACAACAGCATAAGCACCATCGGGAGTGAGTTAAGAGTCGCTTAGAGTTTCTTTTTTTCTTCATAAACACAAATTTTCACTTTATATAAGAAGCACAGACATAGAAATTTTCATACACACATAGGATTTCACTCTCCTACTTGTTAGACAGTAAGGTAGGTGAGAATATTTTCATAAA